ACACTGTTCTTGATGCAGGCCAGGATGCCATTGGCCTTCTTGGGCCACCTGGGCACACTGCTGGCTCATGTTCAGCTTCCTGTCAATCCAAACTCCCAGGTCCCTTTCTGCCTGGCTGCTCTCCAGCCACTCTGTGCCCAGCCTGTAGCGCTGCAGGGGGTTGTTGTCTCCAAAGTGCACTTGGCCTTGTTGAACCTCATCCCATTGGAATCAGCCCATCTCTCCAGTCTATCCAGGTCCCTCTGCAGAGCCCTCCTGCCTTCCAGCAGATCAACACTTCCCCCCTCAACTTGGTGTCATCTGCAAGTTTGCTAATGGTACACTCAATCCTCTCTCATAATTGTTTCTTTTCTTGCTCTAGTTACAAACACTTGAACGTCATCAAAGGGAATTTTACTTTAAATTATTTTTATGAAATAGAGAAACAAGTCCTTTTTGTATTTTAAGGTTTTCTTCAGGCTACTTGATCATTTTAAATCAAAGTGTGCTAAGAAATGCTTGTTACTGATCCTCAGATTCTGAAAAATTTGTAGATTAAATGATGTTTTCTTTTTTCTGTACTGAAAAAAAGCTCAGTTTCAATTTTTGGTCTAATTTCAGTAGACTTACTCCCAAGGACATCTGCAGTGAATGCTTGTTCTTATCAGCAGGCTTTGAAGGATGTTGTTGTTATTAGTGGTTTCATACTATCTGTGCTGTTGAGTGCTGTCGTTTACCAGGGGGAAAATACATATATATATATATATATTTATATGTGTCAATGAAGATTCCTCACCATTTTTCTTGTTTGCATGCCTGCTTCCCGTAGCTGAGATGAACAAATAATGTCACCTTAGAACTTTTTCTTTACGAAGACATCTATTTTCCTTTGACTTCTGCAGTTAGTTTGCACAAATTGTTTTATAATGTAAATCTTTATTGCCTTTATTGACTGTCCCATGATTTTTTCACAAATGAAGCTAATAACCAAATCACTAACAAATAATCTGGACAATTTATTACTGGTAATCTCAATTATTTCACCTGTATAATATACAATTAAAAGTTAAGCTGCCTTTTTTTTTTTTTTTAAGCCATCTGTGGTGTGACAGTGAATTTTATTTTTGTTAATATGTCAGAGAGAAGATAAAACTAATGAACTGGAAACTTAAAGCTTTTATGATTCTTTCAGGTGGAGTATAATGTCATATGAACTGAAATTACCAGCAAAGCCTTCTATTCTTCCAGTGACTGCAGAAGAGTCAGAGGAGTGCCAGGTGGACTTTTACTTTTGTTCTGTTGTTTCATGTACTTAACTTGGAGCTTCTGGGCTGACAATACCTGTAATTGAAGCATTTTCATGAAAAATAGAAACAGATGTTTTGTGATCTGCTAACTGAACAGAATTTATGTCTGTTCATGCTGTGTATCTCAAGTAATTAGCATTTCCGGTTCTGTGTTATTTGCCGAGAAGGAATGAAGGTAAGGACTCTTCAGCAAAGCAGTCAGAAAAATTTCTTCCTGAATATATATGTATATTTTAATATGTATCAGAAATTATATATTATATAATTTGTTATGCAAGAATGTAGTGTTGTATAATTGTCATATAATACTACTGTATATTTTATATAATTATTATATATGAGTATATGTTATATATGCTTTTGTGTATTACAGTATAATTTGGTGCTATATTACTGGATAACATATAAATATATCAAATGTGTATAAATATTTAAAATACATTATATATAAAATGTTGTATTCCTAAAGAAAGAGAGAAGTTTTTTGCAGGTTGAGTTTGATCAGGTGATATGATCCAACTTTCTCTTTGTTCTTCAGAGAGCTTGAATTCATAAGAATCATCAAAGAAAAGCTTAATCTGTCTTTCAGACTAGATTTTTGCTTGTACTATCTGATGAAGTTTCAATTTTGAGAGAGAGGGAGATGTTTTAATCAAATTAATTGGCATGAAAAGTCTAACTAAAAATGAGAAAATAATATATTCCTAAGAAAGCTAATGCATATCAATTTTAGCTCAAAAGTACTTGAGAAGCAATAATTAATCAGCAGACTCTTGAATAATTTAATAATTCAGGCTCTTTTAATTGTCAAGGAGGTTATAACCTTTGATGGATTGCTAGCTAAAGAGATGCAGAAAGGCTGGGATTTTAACAGGGTTGCTTTGCACACAGCCCTGCTTCTGGTGTCAGCAACATAGATCAAGGCTTTATCTTCTCTAATTTTTCAAGATAGTTAAAATTTTCAAGTGTGTCTTTATCATCATTTTGTTCTAGTTATTTCTGGCTTTGAAATTTTTTTTAGCCCCTTCTGAAAATGGAAGGAACTGCTCTTATAAAACTTCTGTTTTGGAAAATGTATTCTGAAGCCTATATTACCTGTCATTACTTGAGTAACATTTGCTTTTGAGTACCTTGTTCAATCTCTATTTTAAAAATAATTTTAATTTATTTTGCACTGTTTACTGATGTATGATATTTCAGAAAAATAATAATTAACCTTACAGTAGGTATTGTATTAAACCATAGTTTGAAAAGCAAATGGAAGTACATATGTAATTCTTTTCACTCTTCTCTTTCCTCCAGTAGTTTCAGGAGACTAATTTCACTTGGTTTACAGAAATCTTATACTGATATTTGAAAAACATTACTTTATTCTTACCAATCAGTGTTTATGTTTTTTCCCTTTAAATGAAAGCTGATTCTCTTGTCAGAGTTCTACAATGAAGGCTGGATTTTAGGAGGAAAAAACAAAATGGTATATCAACCTGTTCAAAATCAAGGACAAAAGCATGCTAAGATATTTTAAGAGAAGCCATCAGAATATTTCAGAACTGTATTTATTTTTTATTTTTAGCTTTAGATTTGGAATTTGGTTAGAATTTTCTTTAAAAATTGAGGTCTGGATCCACAGCTATTTTGAGATAGGATATGGTGCGTGAGGGTGCACTTCTGATCCATTCCAAATATTTTTCTGAGTATTTCAGAATTTTAATTCCTAATGTTCTTTAAAGACTAAGCCCTAAATGGTTTTCCCCGTGCAGATTGGTTTTGATAACATTATATAGTTTAGCAGCTTTTTTCAGTCGTTGTTTTCAGCTGGGTAGTAAGAGCCCATCTGACAGTAAAAAGAAAATTCCAGCTTAGAACTGCAAGCATTTGATTTTTTTCTTAGTTGATCAATTTGTTTGAGGAAAACTTTGCTTATGTTAGAAATAAGAGATGTAAGGTTGTAATACTTCACGTTGTTATAAATCTCAGGAGAAGGTAAATTTTTTTCTGCCTCATGGACTGTTTTTAGCCTAGAAATTACTGTTTTCTCTACAGGAGAAAAAGAGCTGTGGATTAAGTTCTCAGATGCAGCGTTACTTTGAATATTAAAGAACTGGCACATAAAATACAGTATGCAGGTGGAATCTGCACTGCCAACCACTTGTCCTTGTATTAGATCTGAAATGGAAATCCTGCTATTTTTTGAGGTGTTTAAACTCACTACTTGGTGTTAAACTGCTGAAATGTGTGGAAATTGAAGTCTCTTCTCTCTGTTTTCAGATATCTGCTTATGAGGACTCAGTTGCTGCTCATCTTGCAAAAATTCTCAATTCTGATCAGCACTCAGTTGTCATATCATCTGCCAAGTGAGTCCATCAGTGTCATGTACAATGTGTGAGATAAACTCTCTGTGTAGCATCATCACCATAATAGCCTTCTGTCTAAGCCTGATTTTCTTACAGCTAGCCCAACTGGCTTGGCCTAACATATCTTGATTTATGTCTTTTCGAGTGAATGTAGTTTTTTGTCTGGAAAATTTTTATATGGTACAGTTGTAATGGATTACTTAATACTAAATTTTTTAAAAAAATCACACCATAGTAATATAAAGTGATTTAAAATCACTCCAAATCAATGTGTGGCTTCAATATGAAACTTAGTGTTACTAATGCAAATATGTGATCTACTTCACATTGCATTTCTTCTGGGTATATTTTTAATGCATACCCTTAGGTTTAAGAGGACAAACAGCTTTACAGTGTGAAGCAGAACTTCAGCTTAGGTAGCTTTATTGTAGCTCTGTCTGTATCATTCAGTCATCAGTGGTCTCAGACAGTAATGGGTTTTTCCCCCACAAACTGAAACACTTTAAAATGAGAGAGAATTGGCTAATCATGGACATCATCTGAAACCAGAACTATTCTGTGTATACCTTCTCAATGAAAAAAAGTTTCATATTTTGCAGTATGCAAAAGGCCAGTTAACCTAAGTTAACAGAATTTCATTTTTAAAGTATACATAGCACATATAGAAAATAAGGATGCAGGATATTATTACAACTCCAGTTTCTAAACTGGGTCTGTATCTTGTTAAGTATGTTTAATTTCTGTCAAATAAATGCCAACCAAATGAACAGTACTAAGCAATTACCCACACCTCATTAGTGAGTTTGCTGTCTGTCTTCAGTGTAGGTAATAACAATCAAGTCTTCCTGATTCACACAGTCAAAATTCATTGCAGCCACTAGATATGCTTCAGGGTCAGCTATGGTTCCAGAGCATGAGCTGTGCAATGGGATGTGTGTGGTCATATGCTTTCATCTAAGAAGTACTGCGTTCAAGTCAGTAGATTTTCTCCATGGTTTCTAAGCTCCATCTTTGCATGAGAGTTGGCATGACTGGGTTTGAAGTTATCACAGTGAGTGCAAGTTTGCTAAGTCCTCTGGTATGGAAGGTGTACAAGCAAGAGAATGGATAAAATCAGTCATGTTTATTTCGGATAAGAGACTGAGATACAATGTGTGCAAAAGAGAGGAAGAGTGTTTGTTTTAAAGCTTATCACTTCAATTTTGCAAGCTGTGAAAAAGTGTCATCTGATTTGCAGGTGTGATCACAAAATTCAGTTTCCAATGAGAATGATTTATAGCACTGTGCATATAAATAAATTGTCATGAGAATTTAACATTCAAAACATATCTATTTTATTTCATTTGATTTCTCCCCTCTCCTTTTTTTATCTGAAGAATATTATGTGAAACTGTAAAGGACTTTGTTGCCAAAATAGGGAAGACTTACGAAAAACCAGTGGAAAATGCAGAGGAAGCTGATGCCATGGCCATTAAAGTAAGACTATGACTATGTTGAGGTTTAAAGTTGTTGGCTTTTTTAAGTTTTTAGCTTATGGATGTTTAATTTTCACATTGCTCCAGGATGCCCAGCCTGGCTTTCATTTCAACCAGTGACTTTAAAATTCTTCTCTTCTTACTGCATAGAACAGTTATTTCCAAACTGAATCTCTATAAACTGTTTTTACTTTCTTCCTTCATAAAGGATAAAGTTCGTGGTAGCATATATAGAGATGAAAGGATTTTTTTTGCATTAGGATTTACAGGGATTAAGTTAGCTACAGGAAAACAATGGGATAATGAAGAGTGAGTATGCTGCGAGAATGAAGGAGAGAGAGACCACAATGCTAAAAATAGTGGTTTAAGCTGCAAAATGTAGAGATCATGTTGCAGAAACATAGAGGGAAAAGGCAACAGAAGGATTTGGTATGAGACACAAAATTTACGCAAGCTGAAAAAAAAAAAAAAAGAAAACAAAATCCCTGACAATCCTAGTCAGAAAATGTACTTGCGAAGTGGCAATTTGTGGTTCATGTTTTTATCTGGTACATATTTTAGAAAATGAGATTGGTTTTTTTTATTGTTCCAAGGCCAGGCAGTGTTGGTTTTCATTCTTTTAAGCACAGAAAATCACTTCATTTCCAGTGCACGTAGAGAGAGCAGCTACTTACTACTGGCTAGAGGTGTTTGACAGTGTCTGGTTTTTTGCTCTGTGGCAACTAACTTGCTTAAATGTACAGTTCTCTTGCAAAAACAACCCACTGTGTCTCAATCTGATCAACAGCTGGTCATGTCTCCATGGATTATCTCTCCAAAATGGGGTACTGAGCACCCATAACGAACAGTATGTGCAAACCTCTGGTGGTGTTCTGTGCTGCAAGCCATTGGGAGAGGAGTAAAATCTAATCTGTACCTTAGTTACGTGGCAGGCTGAGTTTAGCATGGTGTGTTATTTTAATCTGACTGTAGGGAGTTTGTGTTATTTTTTGTATATATATATATATATATGTATATATGTATGTACATATGTATATATATTTTTTGTATCTATAATTGCTCTAATCTGGTTGAGTATCACACAGTATGTCTGCAAAAAAAAAAAAGACATGAAGACCTGCTCACAATCTGATATTCCAAAATGTTGAACCTCAACTTGGATTTTACATAAGGACTTAACACAGGCTCTAAAGACACCTACAGTTTCAAATATGACCTGGTACCTTAACTCTTTAAAATGTTCACATGTTCACTGTTGATTTTTGTTTGTTTGTTTGTTTGTTTGTTTGTATGTGTGTGTATTCTTTTCCACTTTGTTTTAGTGTTCAGAATTAAATGAGAAGCTAGACCTATTGCTCCAGGCTCTTCACACAGAAGCCCAGGCCGCTCCCATTCTCCCAGGCATCGCTCCCCCCATTGTGGAAGAAGAAGCAGAGGAGTTTTCAAGTGAAGAATCCTTTTCTGAAATTAAAGAGCAGTTAGTGGAGTGTGTCTCAAAGTCTTCCACCCAGAAACTCTTCAAGCCAAGGGAACAGTTAATGCTCCGAGCAAACAGCTTGAAGAAGGCTGTGAGGCAGATCATTGAACAAGCAGAAAAAGGTGCATGTCAGCAACGTTTTGATCTGTATTTGTAGAATATGATAGGATCATGATGTTTGTTTGTTTGCTTTTTTCTAACTAGAATAAGTTTTAATTATAAAATCTGATTTTTACATTCTTACATAGATAAAATTATGTGCTTTTTACAAGCTGCAAGGAAAAGAAATGCATCTTGTTCAAATGTTGATGACTGCAGCTCTGAGTATTTATGTATGCATTTGTGTGTACACATGAAAGTGTGCATTTTTTTAAATTATTTTAACCCACAAAAATTCTGACAGCAAAGTCCTTATCAGTTGCAGAGAACTGATAGACTCTTTCACTCAATTAGCAATAGAACTCTTTTGTTAATATTTTTAAACTTAAGGCTACCAAAAAAAGAAAAGCTGTTTTTCCATGTATGCATTTTTTCTTTAAAAATCTTGAAACTTTGTCTTTTCTTTTAATAAACAGTTGTGGATGAGCAGAATGCACACAGTGAAGAACAACTGAACCAATCTCCAGTGGAATACAGCAAAGAATTAGATGAATCCAAGGAAGAGGAAAAAGAGGAAGATACAAAGGAACTTGAGTCCCCATCAAGTGAGAAAATTAGGAATGAAATAAAAATATGCAGTGTCCTTATAGTTGCATTTGGAGCATAATTGGCCCCATAATTAAAAATATTAGCATCCTGTTTCACTGGAAACTAGTCACAAATTTTAATAGATTTGGCAAAATAGAAGTTGAAATAAAAATGAGGGAGATTGGATGAACAATTTTTTGGAATGTGTTTGCAAAGCTGAGAAGGTATTTTCTGGGGGGAGAAGTGCCTAAATCTGGTGTTTACACTCACCTTTCTACATGAACCTGAGCAGGAGCTAGAGCCTAGGTAATGGTGGCAATAGCATGTCTCATTCATAGACATTTTCAGTTCCAAGCTACATAGCAATTTTAGGAAAGCTGCTTCTCAGTGTAGGTGGAAATTTTAGTCTTTGCCATATTATCAAAGTGGACAGTGATGCACTGCAGGTGAGGTCACAAGATGATCTGTGAGTCATGGAGAAACAGTGGTAGGTGGTGGACAGCAAAGCCCATCCTGTACATACTTGGTGAGCAACTTCTTGTGGCATCACCTTTTGTTACCCTAAGCCACAGTAAAATCCTCAAAACTTGTCCTCATGAGGCTCTGCTCTGAAGCTAGTGCCTGTGTCAGTAGATCCCAGCTTAGAAATAAGACATTAGGCTTTTAGGGCTTCTCTTCATCCAGAAACTCACATTTTCTCCAGAAATGGATGTCAGGCTTTCTCCAGTGACTGTCTCTTCATTACTCCCTTTCCTTTTCCCTTGGTTAGAGGAATTAATGCATGTTGGTTGTCCCTTTACAATAGTAGCTCATAGAGGATGCTGGCCCTACAGATGACCCAATCCTACTGCCGTAATTGTATAATAAAAGAAAAATATACAGATGTGTAGAAATATATTGAACCCTTTGTTTCTTGGTGGTATAATTTCTGCATTTAATGGGAAGCTGTATTATTCTTCATATATCTGTGTGAAATAGGGTGCATATTAACCCTGTCAGTGGACAATAGATGTTTAGGGACAAAGCATGAAACGTAAATTCGTTATCTGCACTGAAACATCAGTTTTACTCATTAGAGCTCCATTATTTTTATCAGAGCGTTCACAGCAAAAGTTTATCTTTATTGCAGTTATTCCCATGACTCTTATCTGTCAAATAAAGAGCAGCTGCTCTGTTGATTGTTCCTGTTTAATATAACTGCCTTGCTCACAAGTACAGAGAGGACAGACTGTGTGAATAGTGTTGTGAATTTTTCAGAAGTATTATGAAAAATACTTCTGAAGTATTATGAAAAATGTTAATTTTGTTTTGAGTATTATATTTTTCCCTCTGAGGATCTTCCTGGTCATTTGATGAAGATAATGTTTTTCCATATGTTAATACCTTTATCTAAATATTTAATAGCTCTCATTAGCTATCACCTGCCATTTTTTATTTCTTTTCATTTTTTGACATTATTACAGTGTTTTGCCATACATAGTACAAATCATTATGTTGTATTGCTATCATGCAATACTATAGCATTTTGTGATAACTGCTGTGGCTGTGGTAAAGATATTAAAGTCAGGAGGAGCTGTTAGTCCGCTTTGTCAGACCTTTTATATAAAACAATCCAGAAAAATCCATCCACTTTTCTCTGTCCTATGTTTAATAATTTCTGTTTGACTTTAGTAGGTTGTCCAGAAAGGTACTTAATCTTACTCCTGGGATACAAGAAAGTGAAGAATTTGCCATACCATTGACTGTTCCATGCTATATTATCATCACTTAAAAAAAGAAAAATTGAATGCACATTTGAATCGATCACAAATTGATTTGAACACAATGCCTAAATCCTTGTTCTAGATGTTACTTCTGTCTCTAGATTTTCCCACCCACTCATGTCTTCGTACATTACACCCACATTACTCTCAGGCTGACTTATGATTGACATGAACTGATCTTTCCTGCTCCAGCCATTAAAAAGAATATATTCTGTCCTTCCCACCACATTCCTGGTGCTGTTTGCCTGCTGTTGTCTTGGTACTAGTCCTACTAATTCTGTTTTTGCTGAATTAGTTTTGAAAGAAATAGATCAGATCACCTTGAAATAATTTCTTTTTTTTTTTTGTTCTGAGCTGCTTCAGATGGTCAAGGTTGAAGTTGCCTTAAGCTGAAGTAGTTTTAACATGTGAGCTAATTTGGAACAGAGGTAGCCAAGAAGTGTCTGTCTGTGACCATCTGTTGTGCGAAAGCTTTCTAAACGCACATGGAAATGCTATAACAAAGCATTTGGTAGTACCCAAACTTTCTTCCTTGGGGCACCAATTTCTGGCTGCGTCTGATTGGGCTGAATTACACAAAGGTTAACTTCCCCAGGCTAAAGCAGACACTGGCATATTCTCTCAGGCTGCATGAAACAAGGTCTGCCAGGAAAGCAAATTACAGCACCTGAGGTCAACCCTCTGCAAAGCCTATCCTTCATCACCTCCAGAGGCAGCCCAAGGGATAACTGGCCTCACTGAGCCACTAGTTACTCTTGTGAATATCTTCTCTTTCCCCTTGATTTTTTTCCCTTTCTTCTTCCTGAGCCTTTGTCAACAACAGTTACATTGGCTACCAAACCTTGCTGCCTGTCAAGGTTTTATTGGTCGATTTTCTGGAGAATTTTAAGAAATAATTTAATTATGTGGGTGATTGCCGGTTTGTTTGCTCTCTTGTCTGGTTTTTTGTTGGGAAAAAAGATGATGGAAAACGGATATCCCCCACTATCTCTCTAACTGCGAAAAATAAGTATGAACACAGCTTTTAGCCTTCCCCTGCAGTTTTCAGTTTGGCTGTAAATAAAGATGTCAGAGTTTTGTTTGATGTTTTCATAAACCTGATGCAGGCAGGGGGCCCATTTCAACTGCTTGAAGAAAACACTGTGGCTGTTGATGAGATATTTCCATGGCCTGTGTGTTAGAATAGCTATCTACATTAAAGTTGTTATAAATAATAATGTACTATATAATACATCTATATTTATAAGTAAGCATAGATTGAATTTAAGTCCAAGTTTTATTATGTCAATAACATGTTTATAAGAAGCTAACTGCAGCATTAAATACTACTGCATTTTAAGGTGATATAATACATTTTTATGAACACATTTGCATTTAATACATATAATACTTTTGCTAGTAGCTTGAAATGTAAATGACAACTCCTCATCTTGAGTGCTGTGCACACTTTTTTTTTTCATTTGTGTTTCTCACTTGCTCTGTTTCTGAGTTTTCTTTCCTGTATTTAGAAGAAAAACTCTGGTGTGATTTGTCATGGAATAGTAACAGATTAAATTAGCCCTTTTGAAACATTTTCAGGGCTGTCAAAACTATGTAGTAATGTCATAATAGGTCTAATTAGTGCTCTTACTTTTGCTTCTTCTGCTCAGCTAAAACTGCACCAAGATCTCCCGATCGACGTACAAGCCGAGGTATCCATTCTCAGACAGGTTCTTTCTCTGCTCCAGCTTTGGCTGCAAGCAAGGAAAACCTCCCAGTACTTAACACGAGGATTATCTGCCCAGGTAATTATGATTTTGGAATCTGCTGTTCCTTACGCTACTTTAATATTGCCTTCCAGTCCCCTGCTTGCTGTCAAATAACAACTTTTACTTCATGCCCTGAATTTGTTTGACTTGAGATACACATCTTTGTGTTGTATCATATAGGAAGAAATGCATAATAATGTAGAAGATTTCTGATCATTTGACACAACACCAGAAGTATTAGAAGTGTTGCATTTGATTCTGGAAGGTGAAAAGTAACATTCAGGGTCTTAGAATCACAGAGTGGTTTGGCGTGGAAGGGACCTCTAAAGATCATCTAGTCCAGCTCTCTGTCATGGGCAGTGACATCTTTCACTAGATCAGGTTGCTCAAAACCCCATTCAACTTGACCTTGAACACTTGCAGTGATGGGGCATTCACAGTTTGTCTGGGCAGCCTGTTCCTTTGTCTCACCACCATCATCATAAAAATTTTCTTCCTTTTGTCCAATCTCTGACTTACTCCAACAGGTTCATGTCCTTCTTATGTTGGGGGTCCCAGAGCTGGACACACCACTCCAGGCAGGGTAGCAAGAGAGTGGAGTAAAGAGGCAGAATCTCCTCCTTTGACCTGCTAGCCACACTTCTTTTGATGCAGTCCAGGATACAGTTGGCTTTCTGTTAACTTTATTAGTATAGTTAAAACATAATGGAACTGAGCTTACATTTTTTCTTCAGGCAAATTTAAGACAAAGCTTTTAGAAAGCTTTTCTTTGTTTACGTGCATTGTATGGTATTTTGTAGAATGACATTGATATTAGTCAAAGTAGATGTGTCAAGTCTGTGATCTTTCCACAAATTAAGCTAAGTTAAGCTATGGCTCTACCAGTGGTAAAAATGGTAAAGATATTCCTTAGGAATATTTCCAAAGGATAGGACCAAAGAAAAATCATGGAGAACATTAAACTAAATAAAAAGCTCTAATACTCTTTTTGGATGTTAGGTCACCCATTTGGTTACTATACCAGCCAGTGAGTGTTAGCCTGAAATCTTAAATTTTCTTTGTTTTTTTCTTTTTCAATGGTAGTACATGAAGAGTCAGCCACTGCACCACAGCACAGTTGCCTTTCTCCTTAAGGGAGCCAAAGACCTGAAAAGATAACCAACACAGATAAAAACTGAGATCGAATCACAATCATTCCCTGTACAGATTTCATGAATTTTGTTTCACAGTATGTGGCTTATATGTTTGTCTGTTTATCAAATACAAATTGGTTTTTTATTATTTTCTTTCTGGTTTGTTTTGTTTTGTTTTGTTTTTTAATCAGGTTTGAGGGCTGGTCTAGCTGCTTCCATTGCAGGAAGTTCAATTATTAGCAAAATGTTGCTAGCAAACATCGATCCATTTGGTGCTACGCCGTTTATTGACCCGGATCCAGATTCCCTGTAAGAAATATTTTTTTTTCCCAAATGTACTGTTTTGCTTTACTTTGCTTTTCTTAAGGGCTTTCTTTTTTACATTTTTACAATCTTTTTTTTTTTAATTATGTAGTTCTTGTTTGCTATCATTTGGCAGTAGACCTCAATGTCTGAAAACAAGTTGGATTATGCCATTTAGTTATGAGTAGTGCAAAATTGTTTTTGCAGCAGCAGAAATTATAGGAGACATTTGCTCACTTACCCCTTGCTCACTGGGAGGAGGAGGACAGTAGTCTTTCAGAGCTGGGTTTTTCTGCCCAAACCGCCGGTCTGAAAGCAAGCTCAGCCGCCAGCAAGATGTTGAAGCAGGTCTGGGCACTTCGTAGTGGAGAAAGAAGAGTGATCCCCTAAGGACTGGAGCAGTGAGGTGGAAATTTTGTGTCCTAAGCTGTCTCTGCTTCTCAGAAGTGGGTGTAGCATTGGCAGAGACTTAGGGGTGGTACCTGGGTTTTGGGCTGTGGCTCCCTTAAAACAAAGCTCTGCAGTGCCAGCAGCATCAGCCAAACATCTAGCACCAGCAAGCCTAACTGTAGCCTGGGTGCTCAGCATGGTGTGCTGTTGCTGTCTCAAGAGCTGGGCCTGGGGAAGCTCTCATGGAATTGCACTGCTGTTTTGGGTATAGTTGAGATAGTGCTGGATGGGGGTACAGTACAGTTTTTCCTTTGCCCTGCGGCAGCAACTTGCAGTTGTGAAAGAGCTGTCATACAACCTGTCTCTTCAACTACTGGTGGGTTTCCTCAGGGAGATTCAGAGGAAAGATCTCTTAAAATCTCTTGGTTGATACTGTGTTCTGAGACCAACAACAGTCTTGGTCACAGGTGGCTGTGTGTCCTGGTTCTGTACAAATGTACACCTAATTATCTCTTTTCCTTTAACAGGGAGGGATATTCAGAAAAGTGTGTCATGAACAACTACTTTGGAATTGGGTTAGACGCAAAAATTTCACTAGAATTTAATAACAAGCGAGAAGAGCACCCTGAAAAATGCAGGTAAAATAATTGTCAGTAACAGAGCCAAAATGTTTCCATTCATTTCTTTTCCTTATCTCTTTATATGAATGTCTTAAATATTTCTCTTCCTACAAATCCAAGGTGCAATAATGTGTATATTTCAGTATGTGAATCTTGTTTTGCCTACTTACAGAAGTCGAACAAAAAACATGATGTGGTATGGAGTTCTTGGCACGAAAGAGCTACTGCAGAGAACTTATAAGAACTTAGAACAAAAAGTTCAACTTGAGGTAAATTTTATTTATGCACAGAATAAGTATTTTTGCTTCCACAGTGTGCAGTGAAGAATTTGGGCTTCTTTTTAAAACCTTTTAGAATTCTTGTATCAACTCAAGCTGACCTCAAAGGCACAGTATAAAGGTGTGCTGTGTAAAAGTTCGTTCTCCAAGTACAGTGTTTGAGTAAAATGTCAGTACTTAAAGATCACAAAATACCCAATATAATGTATCTTGTTATTACCAGGTTAAAAAAAAACGAAAAATTGCTTAGGTAGGATATATTTCCTAATGTTCATTACTTCAAAAGGAAGACCAGGTTTTAAGGGCAACAACAGAAATGACCATAAAATAAACAGAAGGAAAGAGACAAGGAGTCTTAATTCTTCAGGTTCATTTTAATACATCTGAAATTTTGATTACACATATAGGGAGAGCACACAAATAATCAAAAATTCCTGACAAAAGAGAGGAGATTCTGAATTGTATCACAAGAAGCCCAACTACACAAGTAGAGACTTTCCCTAGTAGTCATGCAAAAGAAGCAAGATATTATCACAGCAACAGCAAATGCCATGTCTAAACATAGCTAGCTATTTTTTGTCTTTTAGGCTCTAACATAAAAGCTAAATCTTCCTCATGATACTTGGAACTTAAAGGAGATAATTACAAAATGCAGAAAAAGACTACAGGATGGGTACTGTTATTTTCACCCAAAGAGTATCTAAGCTGGATTTTGACAGAGAACGTATAAAATTTCTCTTTTTACTTCATGCTAAGTACTTCATATGGAAGTTCTTGATATTTATATGAGGGTAAATTTTAAAGTTGAAAGAATAATTTTAGGTTACTGGAACTCTTTCTCACTCCTCTGAGATTTAGGAGGATTTTGTCCGGTAGCAGCAGATTGCTGTTAGCTAAGGATTGAGTAATTATCAAGGAATTATGCAGTAGATAGCAAATATAATGAAAGAATGTTATGTATGCTTCAGATAGAATTCTAATTTAAGGATCTTTTGAATCTGATTCAAATAAGATTCGATAATACATTCACTGCTGACTTTTCCATAATTATTTTTTAATATTTCTGGAATTAAGCCAACAAGTAGAAATTTCATTTTTAGTGTTGTCTTGCAAAATATCAGCCTTATTCAGGAGCTGGAGGCAGACCTCCACTATAACACAAATGGCGGTGCAGCACCTATTAATATCACACTATATTTTGGATACCATCACATCTTGATTAAAATGTTAAATTCTGTCTTGTTACTGAGATTATATCATAAAAAGAGAGCACTAAACACATTCTGGAAATAATTTTGCATATCGTTCTCCTCCTGATAAAGTTGCTACAGATTTGTCCTTATTTCCTGAAAATTTCTATTTCATTTATATAATTTAAAAATCTTTCTGTGGGACTGGCAGTGTTCAGTAATACAGCAATCTTCCTTAAAGGCAACTTGACCTCTAACTTTGTGGTCCACAAAGTGACACCTGAGTCCAGCATTTACAGCCTCTTATTTCCAACTTATTTCAAATCCATGCCTGTGGCACTGCTGCAGGACTTTGCTTTTGAGTCCCTGTGGAGTGGCTTGAGATCATTGTGCTCACCTCTAAAGAGAGTTGTACTGCTCTAAGTCAGGAGTGATTTCACTGACGTCTGTAAATTTACTCTTGGCTGCAAATAATATGAGATTGGCCTGTGTCATGCCACGATCGTGTTGAGTAGGACTCGGCGTTGCTTATGGGTTTTGGGAGATAAAGCAGTAAGAAAGGACTGAACAGCTGGATATAGGAGAGACTTCTTACCTGCAAAATCAACAACTCCCAGCCTCAGCCAGGGTAACAACTGCGGGGTCAGTCCTACATTTGTCTTTGCACTTTTGGGAGGAGGGTGAAGTTACTTTTACAGAAAGTCAACAATACATGCTAACACTGACAATTAACATTTGTGACTATGCCAGAAATATTCTTGGGTATTTTTGACACACACACACCACCCTGAGCTTGATGGATTTGTGTAAATAACAAGTCTGTTGCAATTTTGTGAATGCTGATATAGGATGCAAGACTAGTTACTGAATGGGTAAATGAATCTTTTTGTAATGTTCATGATGATCTTACTTGTGTGAACTCAGGGAGATTAGTTTTTTCACTGCCAAAAGATTTTTAATCCTTGGTAAACAAACCATGGTCAAAGTGCATGAGGAATTTCATTATAAAGAATGTGAAAATGGTTCTTTAAAGAGTCATGGAACACCATGGCTGTAGGTACTACATCATATAGATCTACATGGTTTTCAGCTCTGCAAAAATCAATGCTAAGACTAGGGAGAAGAGGTTTTTATTAGAGGTACTTCACTGCCTGGAGGGAATAGTCTTGTGTCAGACCTATTAATGACTCTGTCCTCCCCTGCCAGCTCTGTTGAAGCTTCATGTGTTAAAAATGGTTGATTACTTTTATCATATTATTTATAAACTGAATGAGCTTTTATTCATTACAGTGTGATGGACAGTACATCCCTCTTCCAAGCCTGCAGGGCATAGCTGTGCTAAACATTCCCAGCTATGCTGGTGGGACTAATTTCTGGGGTGGAACCAAAGAAGATGATGTAAGTAACAGTAAAGAAGAAGTAACCTGCTGGGCAGCAATAAATATCATGACCTCCTCTTCTCAATTGATTTTAATAGTAGTAGCATATAGTTTGGATAACAGCTCTTATTTGGGGAGGTTGTTTCAGTTTAAACTGTATTGTCTTGTTGATTTTTTTTTTAATTGAAAATATATCCCATGATTTTTCACTGTCCATTCCAGCAAAATGCTCATTATGATTTTAGGTTTTTTAATAGCTCTATGAGTATTTTTAGAAACTGATTTTATAGACAGACACACAAATAATTTCTCTCTTTGTTGTTTTACAGACTCTTGTAAATAAGGTTTCTTAAAGCACAGATTCCTCTGTTTGCTGTATCCTAACAGTAAGCAAGATAGACAGGATAATCACTCACAGTTTATACCTGAATTTTCCTCCTGTTCTTTAAACAGCTTTGCTTTAAGGGATGGTGATTCAGAAAATGGGAACTGATGCTTTCAGTGACTGATAATCTAGTGGGGGTAGTAAATGGTTTTCTAAGTTTATTTTCAATGACCGTCTAAAAGGTACCTTTTTCCCTTTCTTCCTAACATGTCCTAAGAAACATTACACTACATGGATACCTGAATGTCTTACAACTTGGAGCAGTGTAACTGCTGCTATTCACTTTATGTACAGTGCAACAACTACAATTACTAGCAGATTATCCTAATTCTGCATGTTGTGGATTAGAGTGTGTGAGGTCTGAATCACCTAAAACCATAGTTGCAAACTGGCTTGTGATTTTAATGTAGACAATCCAGCATTTTTTTGCCAAAATATTTTGGGTTTCTTGTTAGATGTTATCCTTCCCTTTTTTCTGTGCATATATATATTAAAAATACATATATATATAGTTACATATCATCATATACACAATTATATTTATAATATAGTATATAAATACCTAGTATCTATTATTATTGCATTTTATATCTTATATAATACATATATTTGCATATATGTATATATGCTTTGTATATGTATGTATATATACACACACGTATAAAAGTAAAAAAAAAGAAATCTAAACACATTTCAATGTCCTTTTCTTATTTTTGGTATATTTTAGAGGGTGGTAGTTCTGTTTATATTTGGTGATGGATACCTCAAGTTTTTATATACTCCATGTTCCTGTTCGTAACTTGAAAGCTGCTTTAACACCTGCTCAGCCCCTGCTCAGGAGTTTATTTTTCTCCCCGGACTTTCTCAGTGAGAGAGAACTGTCCTATCTTTCTTACTGATATACAGCAAATGTGTGTATCCCAAAGCAGTTTTACTAATAATATTAGTCTTTTGGTGAGCATATGTGCCAGCAGAGTGACATGTTTGTTCTGGACAGAGTTAGGAGCATAATTCACTGCTTTAATGGAATCTTGAATAATTGATCATCAAGAGGTGGTCCTGGTGGTGGTCTGAATTGCTACTTTTTCTCTGGACAAATGAAAGATGCTGCCTTGACAGCTACGACTATTACTGAAACACAGGAGTGAGCCAAGCAGGGCAGCTGCACCCTGACTGACTTGAGCAGAGCTTGTTAACACATGTTTTTTGGTGTCCAGAAGACTAGCTGGAAAATTATCTGCAACAGGAAAGGAGTCAGTGTTGATCCGTAATGATTGGGTTGCCTTTTTTTTTTAAAAAAAAAAAAAAAAGGTTGGTTTTCAGTAGAGATGTTACTGGTGGAGAGACACAACAGAAGACTGGGTTGTGGTTTTTCTGTCCTTTTGCTAAAATGGAAACACAAAATAAATGAAATTCTACAATTGCTTTTTCTTAACCCATGCAAGAACTAACCCTGTAGGTGTCAGTTGCTGGATCAAGAACTCTTCACACTTTTTACCTTGGAATAACAGAATCACCATCTTTGCTCTTGTCAAGATGTTCACATACTCATGTGAAAAATTCCATGGAAACCACAAAAAAATTCAGATGGAGAAACTTTTTGCTTGAAAACACTCTAGAGCCAGTAAAACTTTAATTCTTTGACACTTATCTACTCAAGATCCAATCTATCTGTGCAATCCTGGAATGCTCTGATGGGATGTGCCACCTGGATGTGGCACAAACTATGGCAACTATGCTGTGCAGCCCTTTCCCTGAGATGCCCTCCTCAGCCTCCTGACCAAAGCTCACTGCACTGGGATAAAGGCTCCCACTGGCTCGGTGGGCAGCAGGGACCAAAATCCCCTACCTTTGTTCCCCATCCTCTCCCTCTCTGAGCTATTGCTGCAGACACTGTCTGGATTACACAGTGCTGGATCTTATTCTTCACCTACAGGAAATCTTCTGTCTGGAGGCAGGACCTAACTTTGAGCTTCTTTAAGGGATTTTCTCCAGTCTAGTCTCAGGTGTCTCTGATGCAGCTTACTCTCTTGCCCAACTTGTCAACTGAGATAGTCCAAGTACTGCTCAGAGAGGTGATCTCTCTACCCACTGAAACCTTACTGGAGTGATTTCTCCTACTGTTTTTTCTCCCTCATTGCTCCCTATTGCATATCAAGATAAAATGGCAAAGCTTCAAGTGACCTTAGTGTGGTATCACCTGCCAGACCCAGCTGAACTCCAGCCGAAGACTTGTCCTGTGGCTGAATTCCCCAGCAGGACACCAGGTGGCGAGACTTCCTGTGCTTTGTATGAGCTTGTGGAAATTCAGCACATTTGCTGGATAGGAGGACATTTGTTCCATACAGAAACACTTTTAGTATTTACAGTGGATAATTACGTACAGCAGTACCAAGATCCTTCAGTGTCAAAGCTGTGTTAAACAAAGCAGAGTGTGGACTCAGATGCTGGTTTCCAGAAAATTCAAAATATAAACAGATAAGCACTTCTCAGAGTAAAAAGACATCATTGCTTTTCTTACTTTCAAGAACCTTTTAGATATTAAGTACATTAACCAAGCAAAGATTTGAACTGGCCTTTCATCTTGCCTTGAAAAATGTTTCTTAATCTGTATGCTGAAACATGTCATCCTTCCTATATGAGGGTATGACTCGGCGTTCAGATATTTGAAATGCTATTAGCGTTGCTATTTTACAATAATATTTGTCTATGGTATCTTACTCCTATGACTTTAGACACAATATAGTTATTTTGCAGCAAATAAGTTAGAGCAGTTAAATGTTGAAAATGAATCTGTAAACGAATCTGTGTTTCATTGAGCATGCAATCTAAGCACTGGATTTACCATCAGAATTTCTTTGCAGATATTTGGGGCTCCATCGTTCGATGATAAAATCTTAGAAGTTGTTGCAGTATTTGGCAGCATGCAGATGGCAGTCTCAAGAGTCATCAAACTGCAGCACCACAGGATAGCTCAGGTCTGTTTCTTATTTGCAAGCACACAACGTGGTTAGCAGCAGTTTGCGATGCTGGCAAGTAGTGGTGGTCTGGATGACCACCACGTTGTGCATTAATAAAGCACTGACATTGTTTTGTTTTTAATGGGTAACAAATTGTCTTCAATGATGAATGAAGTATAAAAGTTCTTCGTTCTTGAGACAGTTCTGGAGGGAAGCCACAGCTCCCAGTAATCAACATGTTTCAGGTGGCCTGTCAGTTTCATTAGTATTCACTGCTCTGTAAAATAACATCTGTTCTTTTCTAGTGTCGGTCAGTAAAGATCACCATACTTGGTGATGAAGGGGTTCCAGTGCAAGTCGATGGAGAGGCATGGATCCAGCCCCCGGGAGTTATTAAGATCGTTCATAAAAACAGAGCTCAGATGCTCACACGAGACAGAGTACGTTGCAAAAAGAGATGCCACTGCTAACATTGGTGTCTGTAATAATTTGCTTCGGTTAACAAAACAGTGCTTACAAAAATATTTTATAACTATTTATATAACTCATACAAGTACTTACAGTTATATAATTTCTATAAGATGAATAGAGAATTATTGTTTTGTGTAAAAGTGGCAAAACTTTGTTAACTTTTATTGGTTTTATTAGTGCTATTCCTGTATTCCTATTACTACATAGTAAGAATAGTCGACATTGCTTCCTTCCTTCCTTCCTGCCTGAAAGTTTTAGCACAGTTGCATAAATACAAAAGTTCTATAATGTCCTTTCACCAGAATACCTTTCTGCACATTTATCTCCTGTCTCTCTCTGTCCTTCTAATCCTCCCTCTGTCCCATGGCCCAGTCTCAGACAGAAGAGACACAGGCAGAACGTAGTGACAAAGCCACTGGAGAGTTCACACTTGTCTAGGATTATTGTGTGAAGGGTGTAACTGCCCCTTAGTTCTCCATCCACTAACTGGATCTTGAATTTAGGTTGAAATTAATGGAATTCAAACTCTATTTTACTAAATTTGTTACTTTCCCCCCCTATTTTCTATGTGTGAATCCAGTATTCATTTCAGATTTCAGTCTAGCTATCTGCACAAAATGTGCTTGCATTGGAGAAATCACAGAATCCTAGAATCATTTAGGTTGGAAAAGACCTCTAAGATCATTGAGTCCAACCATTATCACTGTCTTTGTGTTCTTATTGTTTTGGATGACACATTTTGAGGGTAATGGGGAGAAGACAAAGAAAGAACTTTCAGAAGTGACTTATTCTCTATACTAAGTTTTAAGAAATTAAATGTAAAATTACCATTTATACAGATATTATTATTTATATAAAATTAAATCAGTTATTTGTTAAATTAATTTTAACTAAAATATTATATAATTTGAATATAAATAAAATGTAAAATACAATGTTTTAATGAGTAAGAATACTCCAAGTGCTGTGAACTGAATGAATAATTCATTTTGATTAGGCCTTTGAAAACACCCTGAAGTCTTGGGAAGACAAACAGAAGTATGATTCCTGTAAACCTGTCATTCGATCTCCCTTGTACCCTCAGCAAGCTGTTGAGTTGGCTACAGAAGAAGAAGTTGCACAGATCCACCTGTGCTCACAAGCTGCAGAAGAACTTATTACCAGGTACAGTAAAATTATTAAGTTAATGCACAGGCTTAAAAGTGTATATTTTTCTGGATTTTGATGAAAGTTTTGTTGCCACTATATCAGTTATTTTATTCCAATTTTAAAATTTATTTTTAAGGCTCAACTTCATTATATGTTCTTTTCTTATATATTTCTTTAATTTTATTTGTGTGTGCTTGTGTTGGATTTTTTTCTTGTGAAAACCAACGTTCTGAAGTGGCACTGGAAATGGAAAACTGGAAAGCTTCTTTACAGAGATTGAACCCTCTCATTTTATGCAAAAGCAAAAAATATATTTATTAAAAAAAGACACCTTTAGAAGTCAACTTTAGAAGTCTGCAGGATGGGCACTTCAGTCATTTATCTGGTTTGAGATGATAGTGAGCTGATGGTATAAAACTGATCCCACAGCCTTGCATCTCAGGACGAAAGTAGCTCCTGAAAATTAGCAAGTAGTTTAATAAAGAAGACACTTCCATTTTCAAAGGAAAAAACCCCTAATTTTTTAAAAGAAATTAAAAAAAAAATCAGAACAGTTTGTAAAGCTGGTATTCAGTTCATCATCATAATAAATTATCTTTAGCATCAAAATCACTGGTAATATAAGAAAGGAATTGAAAAACTACCTATTTTTATACTGCACTGGTGACTTAAGCAGACATAGAAGAATAACTTAGTGTATCAATTACTCAAAGAGAAGTTTAGCCTAGACAGCTTAAAAACTTTACTGTTCTAGATATGGTCCAGAGGTTGTAATTACAGCGGGACCTCCCATAATCTGAAATGATTGCAACCAATCTTAATCTCACATCTGAAGAATATGCCTTATGAAATAGTTGTAATGTTTTTTAAGATAATTGCAAGTAAGTTATTTTAATGTGCTAGAGTTTTCCTCTATAGTTATTTGAATTAATAGGCAAATGTTTTTTGGTGCATTTTTTGCATAGCATTAGTATTCTAAGACATATAAATGTGTCTCAGTGTTTTGTAGTAGCATAAATAATCTGTGTGATGGATATTTTTGATGGATTATATGAGGTGCTGTATTGTTTGAAGAGATACTTGCATTTCAATTTTTGTTATAAAGGACTATATTTTAAAATGTTTTGTGAAACATATTTTTATATTTTCTCATCTGATAATGTTCTGTTCTTAAGAATTACTCTTTAAAGAAATTAAGAAATATTTTCATTTTTTAATACTTTTGTAGGATCTGTGAAGCAGCAAAAATACATGGCCTCTTGGAGCAGGAGCTTGCTCATGCTGTTAATGCATGTTCACATGCATTAAATAAAGCCAACCCAAGGTTTCCTGAGGTAAAGGAAGAACAGAGATTTATGTATAAGTAAATAAGCTATAATATCTGTGTGCACAAACTCGTAGCACAGTGGCTGTATTGTACTCCCCATCCCCATATTAAAATAAGTTGGATGAGAAGGCAGAAGATGAAGTTTCTTTCTGTGTTCATCAGTGTCCTCCCCAGCTGACACTCTTATGCGAACATTGGACATTGGAAAGGGGCATTAATGACACACAGACCTTCTGGGTGTGGTTGCAGGGGGGAGTGAATAGTCAAATGAGAGACAGAGTTTGGATTAGGGGTATAGTAAGGGTATGACTGTTGCCTTTTGGAAGCAGTCAAGAATTCAGTTTGTCGGCAGTGGTTGTCCAGAGCCAGTGGTGCTCCTCCAGAAGGGATGCAGCAGTGGGGTGCATCCTCACTTTATTCAAGTGAGGTGGTGCAAACAGCAGAAGGCAAAGTAAGCTCACTTTGGGCTGCACACAACTGCGTAGGCATGTCCCCAAACAGAGAGTGGAGGCATGACAAAGTTTGAACTAGTTCTGTTACTACATAAAGGTCAGGTTCTGTGGATGCTTTCAGAGAAATTTTCGTGCTTAATTCCTATTGAAGTGTTATGCAGAGAATGCAAATGGGCTGAGAGGAAATGCATTTCCTGGTTCCTCTCTTCCCTCTAGACAATCTAGGTGTTTTCAGGAATTGGATCCGGAAAAGATAATTGAGTAGAAGCTATCTATATCTAAACTAAATTTACACATGATAAATATATCAGTTGCCCTTTACTTCTTAAAGTATGGCTAGTAGCTTACTTCTGCTAAGGATAAGGTGAAAAATTGAGATCAGCAGTCATTTTTAAATGAGACTCACAACTTCTCTGCTGGCCTTTGTCGTAGATAAAACTCACGGATTTGTCTCACAGGTGGCTAGTCATTTGATGATATTCAGGATTGTGTTATGGTCATACTAAATGAAATTGAGCAAAGGATAGTAAATAGAGGCTATATTTTTGGTTTCTATTCTAGTGCTGAAGAATTTGTCAGTTTAGAGATAAATTGACGTATTCCTCCTAGGAGAAGGCACTTAAGATCTGTTCTGCAAGCCCAAAGTACTTAGTTTGACTTGCATCACTTCAAATAATGTTTATACTTCTTACTCCCCAGAGCCTTACCAGAAACACTGCCATGGAGATAGCTGTCAATGTGAAGGCCTTGCATAATGAAACAGAATCTCTGCTAGTAGGAAGAGTTCCTTTGGTAAGATCATAAGACACATGGGTTTATTCCTTCCTTCAGATTATCTGTGATTTTTTCTTTGTTGACTTTTTAAAATCGGTGCACAATTTATGACATGCTGCAAGAAGCTCTGTAAGATCGATAGGAGGATATTGCACTGCATTTGTGGTTGGATTAGAATGGGTTACACATTCTTGTCCTAGGCTGGCATCCCTCTTGTCTCACTTCGGGTAGCTAGGTCATTGCTTGGACTCTTCTTTTTAATAGTCAGTGGAGAGAAGCAAGTGTTCCTTTTGAGATTCATTCACACTCAGCTGTCTTGGAGGCTTATATTATTAAAAGATAAATCATCTTCTGGAGATAAAGCATTTAAGAGAACTTACAGGGTGTACTATTATGTGACCATCTTTAGAGTTTAAGGAGAACCTGGGGTGAGAGCTGTTTAGGCTCATGCATTCAACTTCCACAGATCTAGTCTGGGCAAGCAAATATCACCTTTGTTCTAATACCTGTCAGAAGTTATTTTATAGTCTTTAACTGGTAATAACTGGAAAATTTCTGTATGTGACATTGTGAAGAGGAGAAAGATGTCAGGTTTTCTATGCTAGTCCAGTTTTACATTAAGAACATACTCATGAGGAACAGTTACATTTTCTAAGGTTCAAAAGCAGATTTATTACTAACTTACTATTTATTTAAATGTTGTAATTAAAAATGGATTTTTATAGGAATATTTTAATTTATCTGAGTTAGCGTATAAAATTACTGATGCAGGTTCACATACCTTTTTACACAAGTGGTAAATAATATGCGTCTATTTTAGAGTAACCAGAAGTGAATATGGTCTAAAGACCATATGGTTTAAGTTCTAGAAATAGTCAAAAATTAGGTTCATATATTTTATTTCAGAATGTTTTCAAAGGGAAAGTTATTCATTAGATATTTTGATCCAAGAAACAGGAAAAATATCTGCTGTTTTTTTCAAATTGCTATTACTAAGTCCCCGTATTTGAGATTTAATGGGGAATTAAAAGAAAGAACTTCTAAAAAAATTTAAAATAGTTTAGGAAGAGAAATTAGGAGAAAACGTTTAAGTTGGAGATGTCATACTAGGAGTGGTGAAATTTATCAAGGCAGGCTGGAAATAATGTTATTATGGAAACCTTCCCCTTGAAACATTACCTTTTCTACAGCCAGTTGTGATCTCACTGTTGTTGAACTGGTCCCTTGTTCAGACATCAAAGTTTAATTTGATTCATTTTTCCATTTCTGAATTTTTACATGTTTTACTTCTGCTTCTCATTATGGTCTGTGCAAATGTCCTCATGAGTCTACAACAAGCCCATTTTTTAATAAAAAGACTGTTTGCAAGATACTGAGATACTATTCCAGAGATGTACATTACACTCATTTGACATCACACTTGTTTAGAATAGTTTTTCACAGCTACAGTAACAAGGTACCCTGGTTAACCTTATTGCCATGTATTTTATAAGCGCTGGAGTTGCATGTAAATTGGTCCCTCATTCTGTTAAAATGATGAAGTGTAAGGTGTTGCTTGATGCATCAGCTGCTCCCCTCATAACCTGTTCTCCAAAGACAGATATTCTTTCTATGATATTCTGATATTCTCTCTCACCCTTCTATTCTGTGATCAAAGCTCCTGACAGCAGTACACTGGTGTCTTTATTGCATATGCTACTTGATGTCATGGTTTAACCCCAGTCAGCAACTAAACTAGGACACTTGCTAAGGTGCTTCTTAGGATCACAGAATGGTTTAAAGGATCTTAAAGATCGTCCACTTCCAACTCCCTTGCTGTGGGCAGGGATGCCTTCTATGAGACCAAGCTGCTCAAGATGGAACAATGAAGCTGATTTGTGGAATCTCCCAGATGGTTATGGCTGGAATAAAGTTTGGAAAAAAATAAAAATACTATGTTTTTTTCTTGATAGTTTCAAAGGCACTGCTTGCATTTTTGATTTTTAAAAATCATTTCCAGTCTGGAGCAGAACACAGATTTCAAATGCATTAAAGGATAATTAATTCCCTTAATTAAGGATTTTTCATTTCAACTGAAAGAAATTATCTGAGCTCACTTGAAGTAAAATATTTTCATATTAAAAAATTTAATTGGGAAGGAATTGAGAAAACTTTCACTATTTCATTCATAGTGTTTATTTTTGTCTTGGAGAGAAGAATATTTTCCAAGATGTTATAGGAGGAGAATGTAGAGTAAATTGCTGATTCTTCCTATACCAGAATTGCACTATTATTTTATTTCAGGAGAACCATCACATGAGTGGGTTTTTTGTCCCCAAGAAAAATGTTTTCCTTTGTGCATCAAGCAGTTAGATAAGTATTTGTTGAGAAAGACAGAATTCTTTGCTTCATTCATTTATAGAAAAATAAATTACTTGAATAATTTCTCAAAAATGAAAACACAAGAAAAGCTGTAACTTCTTCATAGACAAATGGGTCTTCTACTGTGCTCCAGATTAACTGAACTCGTTGTTTTGAAAAAAAAATGGTAAGACAAAAGAAACATCAAAGTCTCTTTATGGACACTGAATTCTATGATCTTTAGAAGAGAAAATAACACGATAGCCAAAAGAGCTTATATTTTCAGTACTACTGTACTAGACACCAAGCTCTTACGAATTGTGTTCTCTCTTTTGAAAGACAGCAACTATGCAAACTACTGAAGCAAAGGAAAGAAGTTTTTGTTAGGTAGGATAAATTAATGAGGACTTGCAATTTATCACCAAACCCCGGCAATGTCAAAAATCTTTTTCTGGCACTATAGATCAAAGATTCTCTTAGAACTCCATTTAAAAAATGCATTCACTAGGAGATAATGTAATTATATCCTTTCAAAAGGATATTCTGCACTGTTTTGGGACTTCTTTTACTTTAAAGGGAGAAATAGATGCTCAGATGGCTTTATTATTGATTCCAAGCAATTTGTTCTAGGATTCAATTCTTTACCTCAAAATGGTGTTTCAGCAAAAAACAGCTTTTCCAGGGGTCAGCTCAAAACAACTTTTCTAGGGGCCAGCTGCCTGCCTTACCTCTTCCACACAGGTTCACTCACACAATAGCTGGAATTTTAAAGGAAACAGGTACCTCCATGGTGTTCTCAAAGTGTTGCTAGAGACAAATTGCCATAGGCCAGCAAGTCCCAAGGTTTTTACACGGCCACCACTTTCTTTCACTCTTTGGTCTTCATTGATGTCCTAGACGTTTTTGTCTCCTGTCAGGGAGTTCTTTCCACCCTCAGCAGCAGCAATGTCTATTGCTCCATGTCTCACCTATTTAGAAGGGACAGTGCAAGTCATGTATCGGTACTGGAATACCTTTGGGCATGAAGCATTTTCAGCAAGATCCATTTCCTCTTACTTGACCATGAGAGAGCAGTCTACTATCTGAAAACATTTCCAAAAAGAATAACTCTGGCTTACTACCATCTACTCAATTTTTTTACACCACTTTCCATAAAAAGATTTTCCAGATGCTTGCTCTTCTGATCAAGTTTTCTCTCCCTTGTGCTGGTAGTTTCCCTTTCTAGTGTGTCCTAGGTAGTGGTGTTACCAGATAACTCTTGCTCTATAAAGAGTAAGGAATGCAGGGAATGATGACAGTGCCTGCGGTCTAAAAATCTCAGCTGTCTCAGTCATCCCTTTGTGGTTGGGACCATGGAAAATATAGTGTCAAGGTGGTCTGATGCATCTCCCAAGAAAAGTAATTTTGGAAGATTATTTGTTTTCACTGTAGTCATCTCTTTGTGCGTGGTAACAATATATCTAGATTAAACGTTAAATCTCAATGAAACTAAAAATACTATTTTTCTGGCCTGTTTATAAATAGCAGTTAGAAGCTCCCCATGAAGAACTGTTGTCTGATGCTTTGCACAGTGTGGAAGTAGAGTTGAGAAAACTTGCTGAGATTCCTTGGCTTTATTATGTTTTTCAACCAAATGATGATGAGGTAAGTTTGATGAGTTATTCCTGATTTTAAGTGAACTAATTTTCTTTTGACAGGAAAGAATAAGTTAGAATGTTTCATTATCCAGAGAAGCAATTGCAGTAGTGATGCTAGATCATTCTGTCTGCTGTGAACAAGCTTCTAAGCTTAGGGCTTTTTTTTTGTGTTTTGTTCCCATTTGTGAATGTAAAGGTTTTGATTAGTTATTTAATAAATGAAACACACATAGAGTTAAATCCTGACATTATGCTTTACAGAGGTAAAATTGGATCTTAGTTTTTGAGATTAACTATGAATTATCATTACAACCATGTAATTTAACTGTTGTTTTCTGTTAATTAAAGGTAACCATGCCCATTATTTCATGCAGGATCCCCCTCTGGATTATGCTAAAAGAAACAACAGAAGTACAGTGTTTCGTATAGTGCCAAAGTTTAAAAAAGAAAAAGTTCAGAAGCATAAGACCAGCTCTCAGCCTGGTATGTGTTTTGAAATTACAAGAAAAATAGTAGAATTTGTGGAATATGTGATTTTATGGGGGTTTCTTGGTAAGAGGCAACATTATGTGTTCTACCTAACATTAAAGTCAGAGTGAAGTCTGAGAAGTCTCAGAAGTCTGAGCTACTGGACATCTTCATTAGGATAAAGATTTCTCTCAGTGCATTTAGAAAGCATTCGGTAGGACTCAAATACTTCCAAGTGAACCAGAGAAGTACCGTGAAAACACTTAAGTAGTTTTATCATGCAACAGGACCTGTGTCTTTGCTGGTGATTCCATTTGATTAACTCATAGCCATACAAGCTATGAGTGAACACCTTATGAAGCTCCAGTTCAGGCTTTTCAGGTCAGTTCCAGAAGGTGTGCAATAGCCTTTAACACACCGTTTTAATTAACCAGATATTCTTAAATTTCAAATAGGTTGTAAGTTCAGCAAATGACACAGATCAAACAAAAAACCATGATAGTCAATATTGATTTTATAATTAGAAGTTGAACAAACTCCACTCTCCTCTCTTCCCACTCTTATCCATGAATTTACTTCCTTAAGATTATGTCCAGGATCAGATGGTCCTAAAATAGTTTCTATGTCTTTATCTTTTTAATGAATTGATCATAATCTGCAAAGTCTTGCAGTTGTTGCTCAAACTTTAGTTTTCAGATTAAACTTAAGGTTTCACTTCGTTATAAAGTGATGAGCATTGAATGAAGTTGCAAAATTATAGCAATAAGTAGCATAACTAATTTTTTAATAAATGTGGTCTTAATAGGACTAATGTGGGCAACTAACCTTAGAGATCAATGTTTTATAGAGAGCTTCTTAATGGCCTGTGTAACACAGTAGCTTAAAGAGTACTTTTATTAATTAAGAATACTAGAATCTGTTAATTAAAACTGGACTTGCTTGCTGCCATTGCTGTATTTGAGGTATGGTTGCTGTTTTAATTTTACATGTTAATTATTTTTTGAAGACTTCTCCTTTCCCTGGATGGCTTCTAATAAATTAATGGCATAAAGCAGAACATCATTAGATTTTGCGTCACTGATCCTAAGCTGGTTTAATGTGAATTTGTTGGGACATGAGGTTTTAAAAAAGGCTTTACTGAAGAAACTGGAGTAAAGCTGAAAGCATGGCTGCAAAGCAAAGAACCCCAACTTTGTTTAGATACTTTCTCATGTTAACTGCTAACCTCTAACCTGCATGTGAAAAGGAAACTGTAAGTTTTTGTGGAAATGACACCTCTAACCTTTCCCTTTGCTAGCACGGCAATTCTACTCTGTTTTCCACTCTCTTTGGCCTAACCTTTGCTTGTGATGCATTTGAGCATGTAGAAATTAAGGGGGTTTTGCTCTTAACTTTGGTAGTTCAAAAATGGGGCACAGATGAAGTTGCTGCTTGGCTGGATCTGCTCAGTTTGGGAGAGTACAAAGAAATCTTCATCAGCCATGACATCCGAGGCTCTGAGCTTTTACATCTGGAAAGGCGAGATCTTAAGGTATTTCCTTTGTGCTACTTTTCTGCTATTGACCATTTTCTTTGACAAAACAACACCAACTTTTCTTCTTTCCTTGCACTTGTCATTGCTTGTAGCTTCGCTTACACTGTGCAAATATGCAATAAACTAATACGCGCTGTCTTTGGGCCTGACTTTCTGAAGTGCTGACTTGAACTCACAGCCAAGAATATCTGTGTTATCCAAAATTTCCTTTTTTTTTTTTTTGCACTCTATGTAGAATGATAGCATTGCAGTTTATGTCAAAAGGCATTGGAGAAGGACATTTGATATCTTAGGGGCATCAGTGTAATATTATCTTCAAGAGTTCACTGTTTCCATTAAACATGATCAGTATGGATCAGTGGAAGGTGGTGATAATAATTTTCAGTCTATCTACTGCAAGGGCTGATCTGCTCCAGATGATTTATTGTATATACATGTCTATATATATATTGGATATAGCTGGTGTGAGAGAGATAAACAGCTCAATAAATTGCAACACTGGACTTACATGGTGTTGGTGTTTGTGTGTCAAAATAGATTCTCTCATCCCTGACTGACCTCTGCCTGATTTTTTCAATATAGTTTTAAAGAAGAGCACCTTTTTTTTTTTTACTCCGAAATCGTAGAACTTTCTTCCTCTGAGGTCAGATTGATAAGTTTTGCTGGGAGAAATGTTACCCAACAGTCTGAGGCTGTTATTTGAGCTTGCTGGTCCTTTTCAAAAATGACTTAAGTGCATCCGTTATATGTAATAGAGGCTATATCTTTGGGGATTCATTACATTACTTTTTCCGGGAACTCAGTAGTAATGAGTTCTTGGTAATGTGCTTTGCAACTGCTTTTAGCACATAAGAGAGGAAATAGGATATTGTACGAATTGCCAACATTTACATTTAGTGTGTGTGTCATTGCTCTAGCCACAGTGCAGGAGTCTGCAGATAGAGACAATGTTTTCATGCAAATGTGCTACTTTATGTACAGTTTCTTGTAGAATATGAAATCCTGGCATTATAAGGTAGTGCTTGCGCTGTGTGACTGTTGCAGTAGAAGGCAGCTGCAGAAGATAGCTGTGTTTGAGATAATCTGTTTGGCTGTTGTGTATTATTTTACCCTTTGGTATTAGATCACCTAATCTTTCCATGGAAGTTAAATTCCTTTCTTTCAGGATAGTTCCTGACACGCACGGACAATTTCAGGACAGTTCCTTGCTGTAAAAATTTAGAAACAGAAAACTCTCCAAGCACTCCACCACAATTGTCTAGTGATGGATTTTGCAAGTCACTGTTCTGTATAAGTGACTTATGAACAAACTTAAAAATCAACTGGGAAACTCAGCATCACACCATGCATGTGTTTGCATGTCCAGCATATATTTGCAAGTCCAGCTTGTTCCAATAAATAGTGGTGGGTAAGAGCAGTGCTAAACTAGACATGGCTTCTGGTCATGCCTTGTTTCTCATAGGGACCAATTTGACTGCTTGCCAAGAAGACTGGCAATTCAAACAAGTAAAATATCTGCAGCAGGGTAATCATTGACCTGTCTTCCCTGTTGCTAAGACACATGCTGATTCGATTCAGGGTAAATAAAACCCCATCCCAAAGGTCTATGTCATGATAATATCTAAAAGCTTCTCTTAGAGGGCCTACAGAGCCTACTGCCCCCTCTATCTAGTGCTGCCTAGAGAGAGACACATGGGATAAGGAGTTGCTCTACACAAGTTGCCAAGAGTGTGTCCTGCGCTGACCAAAATCTTGCTCCAGAATCGCCCCATGTGCTCCTTAGCAGATGCTGAGGGCTTCCAGATACGTGCTGTTTAAAAGCTAAGCCAGGTTTTTGGCTAAGCATGTCTTTCACTCTATGTAACAACACTGATTAAAATAGCACAGTTTAGCAGTGTTGGCTACATATGGGGCATGATCTCTTCAGGGAGCCAATTAAGGATGGCTCAGACAGCCTGCAGTTTTCGGCCAGTGGCCTGACTTGCTGTCAAGATGTGTAATGTGGTACTATGGAAATCAGCAATACGTCACAAGCTGCCCTGTGAATCTTTCCTCCCTTTGGCTTTCGAGGTGGTGCAGATGAGTCTTCAGTGCTCTTGCAAGCTATTATCTGTCTACAGCCTCTCCTCCACTGCAAGGCTTGTGCTTGCTGACAAACTGAATGGGATCTCCATTGGCTCACAAGCTCCTAAATCCTGTACAATAGATTCACGTCTGTTACTTCTCACGTGTGCAACAAGAAACACTGTTACCTGTTTTAATTGAAGGTTCTGGGCCCACCTATCTTTTTGTGGTCAAGAGTAGAGATAAAGATCAGTACGGAAAAGGATTTGATGAAACTCTCTTCCTTTGCATCCATTGCTGAAATACATAGATACATTAACTGAAGAATTGGGCACCTCTTACTGTATTTCTGCATAGCTTTTGGATCCTATTCTCAATTAGCTCTGTGTGGTAACTGGCAAATAGAGAACACCTCCAAGAGAAACGAGATACCTCCTTCCACCCAGTCCCTGCAGTAATATCCTTTCTTCAGCCTCCTATGCCTGATTTTATGTAAAGGAATCTTAGAATTTTATACCCATATGATTTTCTTTTGTTTGAGAAATGGCTGGGCAGGGAGTTGTGAATTGTGCTGTAGAAAGAAAGCTTGGTGTGACCTTTTTTCAAACCTTATTTTACAAGCAAACCCATTGAAAACTAGCCTCTGATTATTCTGAAATAAATACTGGCATTCTTAGCATTGATAACCATGTTCCTATGCATGCGACTTAGTCATAATCAGAACTGCAACACATTTAGTAGGATGAGAGGATGATGTCTCCTTAGAGCTCCATAGCAATATTGTTTCCTCGGAGGAAGGGTTTCCATGACATGTTACCTTGATGAGCATTGCCAGTCAAGCTAAAATCTGTGCTGAGGACTGTGGCACTTCCTGCCTGTGTTTCACAGCAGCATGTTTTGGAAAAGTTCTTGCATGGAAAAGGTTTTGTAAGATTTATTAGCCTTCATGCATGCCAGATGGCTTTTTACACTGGGAGTGCAAGTAGGGTAGATTTGTCATTTGGAAGATGTTGATATTAAGGAGTGTTTATATAAATTGTTTGCTAGAATTACATTGGTGGTACATTTGGCCCAAAAAATGGCCTGGGAATGGCAGTGATAATGGAGAGCAGAAGTGGAGGTGATACTGTAGTTTCAAGGCCATAGCTAGAGAAAAAGAAAGGCTATTTTCTTTTTCTTTCAGACTCTGGCTAGAGTCTTATCTTCAAAACCATATTTTACTCAAATTGAATTTTTGTTAATTAGATATTAACAGATTACATAGAGGATGATGGAACTCGTGCATACATAAAAATGCAGAGATATTTGGGGATCTTGGTTTTTTTGAATGATGCATGCTATGCTGATGTAACAGATCCTTTTAGTCTGAGGTGAAACAATTTCTGCAAACTTTCCTGCATGAGCAGTAAACTTGAGAATACTAGATAGCATGCAGTGTCAGGAATATATAAATTCTAGTTTCCACCAAATTAAAAACTATTACACAAGCATAAAAATTCTGAGTTGGTGGTTGGGTTTTTATTTCCCCTGGAAGTGTAGCAGAATTTATCAAAGGGGTCTCCAGAATTTGTGATGACGCTCTTGAGACTTGCTGTTCTGATATGCATTACAGCAACTTCAACTGGAACAGAAATAAACCCAAAATCTCTTGCCTCTGAAACATAGGCATTGTCGAGGATGCTTTATAAGGCTGGTGGAAAAAGTGCCTGAGTTTTCTGGGAATTTCATAATATGATTCTTTCCTCTGATCTTTGAAGTCCAGCAGCATGTCAGTATGTTGCTTATCCAATAGAAGTTCTGCTCATGACAAAATGTTTGTTCTGAAGATTTTGTAAGTTCTTAACCTTTAACTTGTATGGCTTGTTGTGGTTTGGAAAGTATCCTTATGGGTTTTTCCTACTAATTTCAGTAGTCATGTGTATTTTTGACTCATTTCTTTGACGTTGAAAATATTACACAAATTTGAAATTATAATTATTGCTGTCATTTTGGGATTAATTTCATTACTACCTACATTAATTCTCTTAAAAATTAGCACCACATTTATAAGTGAGATGACTATTAGCAAAAATAAAATATGAATTGATGTGATGTGTAAAATTAGGAGTTTTTCTCAGATAGATTTATGAACACCACTTGATTTGGGGACTTTTATGAACATATCTTGAACTCTTTAATGCTGACACCTTTGTGCCAAAGTGCTCTAAATGGTGATCACGTATTTATAGTGCTGATAATTTTCAGCTGAAGAAACAAACAAATATTTTTCATCTCTAATATGAAGAAAGAACCAAATATTTTTCATCTGTAATATAACCAGGATTCAGTCTTGACTCTGTGAAAATTAATCCATCTGTTTAATCTTGACTGTGCCACCTTTACAGTAAAGTAATTAATTTGTGCCCATCTTACCACCCCTTTTTTCCTTTCTTCCAAAATTATTGCACACTAATTTTAAGTAATATAAAATACAGATTTTCTGAGGTTTTTGTGGCTGTAAGAAGGTAGGTACAGCCTTTGTGTAGAGTATATATAGAAAAATGTATATGATTTCATTATCCACTCTGTATGAGACTAATGTTTTCAAGCTGCCTAATTACACTCCTTTCCTTTTAATGTCTTTGAAATGGAAAAATTTTCCTATTAAAATGAAAGGATTTCTATTTCAGAAAAATAGAGAGTGAAACTTTTCTGGTTTGGTTTTTTTTTTTTCCCCCAATGTATTTAATCACTCTCTGTTTATATAAGGTTTATTCTAGTTAAACTAGTGTTTGACTCTGCCAATTGCTCAAAATCACTGACACAAGGATTTTAAAGACTTCTTTAGAGCTGGGTTTTACAGATAAGGGAAGCAGATTTCCATCAAACTGAGCTGAAAATTCATTAGTGTAGTGGGGAATCATTAGCACAGCTGGGCATCCCATTCTGCTTCTCTGACCATTGGACCAGTCAAAACTGAAAAAGGATGCTGCTAAAGCTGTCACTCATACTGGAAGAAGTTTGCTGCAAAAAATTCCTGTCGTCTCATACCGAGATGGGTTCTAGAAACCAATAATAGAAACGTTTCAGCTGAAGTGAATTGATTTAGTGGTGGCTACAAGGAGACCTACTCTTGTGCTTTTTACATTTTCCTTTAGGATGTGACTGTCATGTCTTTGAGAATTTTTCTTCCAGCTCTCTAATCAGGAAGATCCATGTTAGCAGATGTAACCATTTTGGAATGAAAAGCAAATGCTTACCTTTTCTATTGCTCTCTAAAGGAAAGTTGTCCTACATATCTGTAGCCATTGCATCCACTTTCCCTTAAGAAACTGGGGATACATACATGTGTTTGTTGATTAAAGCAGACATCATAGGGCCTGAGATCAAGTGACATTGCTGGGCAAAGCTCTAATCCATTACATCCTACCAAGCATTTGATTGCTGTATTAGAGAGGAGGGGGAGATTGTTCTTTTTTTGCCAGAAATTGTGAAGGGTTTTTGTATTTAGAAGTCAAGCCAGAGATGTTTTATATATATATTGGGGTGCCTGGTGTTGTCAGTAGAGCAGGTAAGTAATTTTCAGTCTGTAAGACACAGAGGGATTCATTGTATGCTCTAAGCAGTTTTTTTGTTAGGCAACACTTTCTAACACTTTCTGGTTACTGTTGATTGCAGTGAGCACGTTTCTAGACATCTGTTGCATAGATACATCATAACCAATGAGAGTTTTTTTCAGGTTTTGTAAGTAAACTTCCTTCTTTTCCTTTTTCTCTCTCTTTTTTTTTTTTTTTTTCTGTTTGCTTGTTTTTTTACATTTCTATAGGACCTGGGGATAACGAAAGTGGGCCATATGAAGCGAATTCTCCAGGGAATTAAAGAGCTCGGCAAGAACACCCCTTTGTCTGAAGTGTGATTGCGCTGGTGCTTTCCTTAGAAGGAGGAGGGAAAGTTGCTGGAGAAGCAGAGCTGTTGCAGGCACTTAGCTGTCTTTGTAGTTTACTCTATGGAAGAAGAAGCACTGGTGTTTGTACAGGCTAGCATCTCTGAATTCTTCTATGGTGAAGAACTTGCTGCAAGAGTATGAAAGGATTTGTGCCAAAAAAAAGAAAAAAAAAAAAAAAAAAGAAGGAAAAGGTGATATGTTCTGTGAAGACATTTTCTTGATGTGCAAATTGGCCAGTTTGGATAAGCCCAGTTTGGTAAATCGATTGGTTGGTGGTGAACTGCACTGACTGGAAAATATAATCAAGAAATGATTGCTTTGCTTACATGCAGCTCAGTATGCCTCTCTTTATGCTGCAGCAAGATGCCACTGTACAGCATGAAGTCGTCCAGTTATCCTTCCGAAGCACAGCTCCCTAAGACCTCCTGTGCAGGAGACCAAGAGGTTCTGAAGGTTCAACACGTGTGCCTGGCAGTGCCACAGGTACCCAGCACTTGCTGGCCACACAGAAAGGGAAAGATACCTTGTGATACCATGAATGCAAACTATTAATGCATGGTGTGCCTGCCTGAATTGTCTGTTGTTCTGTTGCATGACACATCTGATACTTTAAACACTTGAACAACTTTTATATCAGTTTGAATGAGATTTAATTTATTACTACTTGAGTGTCTTTATTTTTTTTTTTTTTTTCAGTTTCAGGCACTTTCTATTCTTCAGTGTTGTGTTATGCCTAAAATGTGTTCTACGGCAAAGGGTGTGGAAACTTAGCATTTGTGCCATATTCAGCAGATTATATATGATTGAAATACTGTACAGTTAGATTTTTAAATATATCATGTACAGAAGGTTTATCAGGTTACTAACTTATGAGAATTTTTGAAAGACTGGTACCTCACAAAAATATCAATTGGCTTCCTGCATGGAAAATGATAAAGAATTTTCTCATGGTGCATTTTAATATAGTTATTCAATTGTCTTAAACATCTGTAGCATATCTGAACTTTAAGGCTAATGGTTTTATTTATTGTATTGTTCAAAAAGCAGGTTAAAAGACTAATGAAATTTTTTACAGGAAAATTTAATTTTATTTATCGTACATAAGGAGATGTAAAATGTAGCAGCTGATTTGATTTTTGTGGGGTAAGCTTTTACTCATTACTAATTAACTGTTAATTTAAAAACGCATCTGTATGCATTTCTTTAAAAAGGCATTAGTTTGTTTCTTGACAGCAGTCCTCCATCAGTAGATCATAAAAAAATTAGGAAAACCCAAACTCCAAGGTTTTACATGATGCATGCTAAGATAAATCACATGCAAGACAGTAATCCATGAGAGTAAACAGCTTAAAAAAAAGAAAACAATCTTTGTTTAGAAATTGCTCTAGATCAGAGTTTCTAAGGTTATTTACAATTTACTTAAATGAAACATAGGTTCGTAATTGAATTTCCTGGTTAATTTTTCACAAAAGTATTAATCTAGTAGAAAAATAACTTTCAGATATCTTCCAAAAAAATCCTACTTAGCTGCTTGAGGTGAGATGACATTCCACCACCTGACAGAAAACTTGCACAGAATCGCTGTCTCCTTGTTGTTCCTAGCAATGTGTCATTTCAGCACAAGGAGCACACTTGACTTCTACTTAATTGAGTAGCTTTGATGTTTGTTGCACGTTGAAGAGTATCTTAATATCTGTGTATGTTTTCCTCATAGGCAGCAGAGTAATGTTTCATTTGTTTTATACCAAAGCTTATTTTCTCTGTATAAAGGGGCCAATGTCAAGTACTGCATCCTGGTTTTGCCCTTCACTTCATATGATTGGAGTTGTTCCTTGGCAAGTAGGCAGGACTCATTCCTTGGAAAGTGAAATTTAGTCTCCTCATTGTTTTATGGGAAAAAAAAATCAGAAGGAGCAAAACAGGCTTCATTTATATCCAACTGTATTTATGCCGCTATAGGTTCAACAGGCACTGTTCTGGGATCTCTGTGGATATAACTATTCTGGTAAACAAACAAAAGTAAAAAGCTGTGTTTTATTATGCTTTCCATAAAAAAACAAACCAAAATGCCTTTGCCAAATGATATGATTTTCATGCTGTTGTATGAAAAGCATATGCAAAAAATGGAAACTTAGGTAAACAATGGGAAGTTTGTGTTTGTTTTTTTTGTAAATTTTGATGTACTTGATATTCACCCCTTTAATGATGTTCAGATGACATCTGTCAAGTCTTCTTGAGTTTTATTTCCTTTTCTCTTTGGTTCTCCATAAGCTTCACTGTATTTTAATGTGTGGCAGCGTTCTAGTATATTGATGTTACAGTAGACTATGTAGTTAATCTTCCAGATCAGTTCAAGGACATAATATATAGAAGAACTGTCTTTGCTTTCCTGATTGTAGGATACAATCTCTTTACAACTTTCAGCCTTGCTATGTGCAATGCATTAGGACAGGCTATGGAACAGGATCTCTTCACGTCACTCTAGAAGTCTACGCTGAGTATATTAAAAAAATGGGAGCTGCTTTTAGGCAGGGAAAATGGGCAAATGTTGTTTGTAACAACTTTCTTATGGCACTCCTCAAATTACCTCAGTATAGGACAACTGATCAATGATCTATGTATAGTTCATTTTTCTAAATGACCACCAAAGAATTTAACTTTGATTGTCCTAAGCATTTTTTTTTAACATGCGAGTAGGGAAAAAAAAAAAAACCTGCATCATTTGTGCTGTATTTATTAGATGCCCAGGAGAGCAAATTTTATGCAACTCTATGCCTTAGACTTGTGGTGGCTATGAAGTGCACATGCATCTGACTGGGGTTCTCTACTGAGGTCATGGATTTTAATTGTGTTTTCTAAAGACACAGTTGTGGCTTTTCTAAGACAAAATGTTAACTCTCTCATGATTATCCTAATTTCCAAGTATTGGGTTTTTTCCTTACTGCTGTAAAAGTCCCAGCTCCTAGAACTAGGGACATAAATAGCTACATTTTTTTAATGAATGGTATTCTTTCTAATTTAATCCTGATGTTAAAAGTGCTTCAAAGCATATATCCCAATATTTTATCGGAACTAAGGTAAGCACATCCCTAAAAGGAGTTAGTTGTTTAGAAAACGAGTTATCATAATAGATCTTGTGAAGCCTGATTCAGCATGCTAGATTTATCAAGACCATCACTATACAAAGTTTACTGGGCGAAATTTTTTTCCTCCTAGTTAAATACATGATATTTCTGTGGTCAGTCAGCACACATTAATATATGAAAGGAATACAGAGTAATCTGAATTTTTTTTGTAGTGGATGATATTCATATAGATAAAAAGCTCTACATCTCAGAGAGGGGAAGATGAGAAATGCATGTTTTAAAATGGCAGCGGGTTACTAAATGCATGTTTCTGTTTTGTCATTTTCAAATAGTATTTTCCCAGTTCACTGGATTCAATTGCCATAGCAACTTCTGATTCGGGTTGTGCAAATTTTGCCTTTATAATGCCTAATTCCTTCTTCTTAGAAACTGGATGAAATCAAGCAAACTTCTGGTTGTAGGTCTTGGGGATTTTTTACAACACTTAAAGAAAAACAAATTTCAAAAATTAATTTTTCTAATATAATGGCAAGTACAAATTTTCTTTGATATATTTTTATATATTTCTCCTTAATCATTCTATTTTTTTTCTCCTGCATGTCTCTTTCTTTCAAAGAAAAGTATTTTAAACTGGGAAGAGCAGTAAAATGTGAAGCATATGATCAGAACCCCTCCCAGACTATTTCAATCCAGTATTTCTTGTTTCGGGACTGGAGCAAACATGCTTAGTCCTGTAAATAATAAATAGAAATCATCTTTATCTCTCTTTTCCTGCCCAAAGAAATTTATAACGTAATGTTGTATAACTGTAATTCAAATGAGAGGAATTGATTTTTTTTTTAAAATAAAGGTCTGTTTCATATTTTCCTATTCTTTTTGTAGAAAAATAGATAACCTGCCAATTTTACTGTTAAATTGAACTCAGCAATGCTAATTCACTTAATGAAAATTTCATAATGCCTTGATAATGAACAGATATTTTTTCAAGGGTAAAATTATTCATGTTTTTCATTGCATCTGGTCTTCATTTTGGGAAGACTGGCAGGATACACCTTTTTCACATGTAATGGAAAATTAATATATAAAACAAACATGAGAGGATGTTCCATAGTCCTACTTTAAAAACAGTTTTAAAACTAGATTTTATCCATAGCTATAATTCCACAGGGGACATGTAAGACAATAAGCCCCACAGTGATTCCATTTTGCTTGATACTTCCTATTAATGATTGCATTGCTAATGTTTACTGCTGTTTCTGCAATTCTGTCTCTGTGCCCCTAAGTATTAAGTTCTTGCACATAAGTTCAACAGTTCTGGTAACTAATAATTAGCAGTGCAAAAAGTCTTTGTGACAGGTCAAGTCACAAGTGTTGTAAATTGTTGAGGATAACCGAGCTGGAGCAATTTATTTAACTTACAACTAGGAAATGACCGTGTCAATCATGAGTAAGTGAGAGCCACAGAAAATTATATGAGTAATTCTAAATTTATTTTTCACCCCAATAACATATGTACCTCTCAACTGCATCTCTCCTATATTTTTTTGATTTTATTTTCAAGGATTGTATGTTTTGTGGTATGATTTTCATGTCGTCAAGGTTTGATGCTGCTGCTTCTAACTGCAAAGATTTAACATTTGCAGGTAAAGGAATAAATTTTTGATGACTTGAGGAAGCTGAGGAGTTTGGACAGGATTTAAAATATCTCTGCTGTCTTTCCAGAGATGAATCAGTGGGACTGATAAAGCATCATTTGGTAATTATCAATAGAAAATCTTTACTGGTTGTTTGAATTCTTGTATTTACATATAAAATATCATGTGGAACTTGATCTTTTTTACAAAAAGAAATTTTCTAATTGTTTTCTACTACTGTTGCATTAGCTTTAATAGCTCTGTGAAGTGTTAGTTTATGTACTTGAAATTCTCATTTCTGCCATACAGAAGATCAGTCTATTTCTCAGAAATTATAATCCATTTGGAAGCCATCCGGAGACTTTCAGAAGACTATTTTTGTTGCCAGTTTAGCTAATACCAAAATTCATAGCAATTTCTGTAGGCCTAATAGTGATTGCCCTTAATATTTTAACTGAAAAAAATTATTTTGAAGGGTTTGAGGGTTTTCTTTGAAGGGTAAGTGTAATTAAACTTAAAACGTCACTCCCTCAGCATACATAAATAATAAAATATCAGCACTATTAACACTTTTGCAAACTAGCAAAATGCTGATGAATACAAACCCAAAAGCATTCCTGGACAAATTGTAATCAATTCAGCTGTAGCGGTTAAAGACCTACCACCCTCAGAGCAGTTAACAGAAAATTCATCTATGTACATGGTAGAATTACATATGTTAAATAATTCACAACCTTGTCTCCCAGTTGACAAAACTTGATAAGCTCTTTGATGGGATTTTTGCTTATTATCTATTGCTTATATTAGTGAGGGCAGAAGAAGCTGGTGCATAATTTATGTTTAACTCCGGTCATATCTTTACTAATGTTCTCATGCTGCTTCCCAGCTTCTGTGTCTGGATGACATCCCAGCTTCTTGGCAAGATGAGACCCTTGCATGTCTCTCTACTGTTTCTGTTTAGCAGAGCTGTACAGGCAGGCTAGGAAAAAGTTGTTGGGTGCTCCAAAATCAAGATTGACCAAGGCTTCAAGCTCCAAAGCCTAGCATAGCCATGGTGGACTAAAATCCTTTAAGTTATACTCTTGCAATCCCTGCTGGAAGCCCTCTCTAATGGTTAACACTAACTGCTGGAATGCCCTTGAAAAGAGAAGTGTTTTGGCTAACTCTATCTATATAAGACTGTTGAAAATAATGAAAATTATGGTAGCTATTAGTAGGACAAGTATGCAAGTGACCAATCA